GGTCTGCACGCCGGGAGCTCATCTTACGTTACGGGACACCGGGTTAAACTGGGTGAGACGTCATATCCTGAGCTCCTTCACGTATTTCCTGCGTGTGCTTTCCGGGCGGTGGGCTGGAGTAGGGGTTTGCGCAGAGCCGCCTGCGTGGCTGAGAATGGACCTGGAGCTGAACGGTTCTGCGGCTGAACTTTAGCAGCGTGGCTCGTTGCCTCCTGCAGATTTACCAGAGGTGAGGGAAAGCTTAAAATAAATAAATAAAAAAATGCCCACAACCCAAACTCCCACCCACCAATAAACCCCAAACATCTGCCAAAAACCCCAACGTCCCCTCGCAGGGGCATAAAACACTCCCAGGGCTGCTCCTTCCCGGGAGGGGACAATGCGTCCTTACATGCTTTGCCGGGAAGCAAACACTCCCTGGAGATACTTGCTGGGAAAAGCTGCTCCCTGGCTTTGAAGGCGGTGTAAGCAGCGTCTGGGTTTCTGGCTGGGCAGCGGGATGCCTTCCCCAGGCGGGTGGTGACTGGTGACACTGGGCGACTGTGCGACTTTGCCCATCGGCTGGGGACGCGCAGCCGCCGTGCAGCCCCTGGCTGACAGCCACTGGGCTGGGACAGGAACGTTTAAACGTTTCCTGGAAACACCACACTTGCCGCCCTACTTCTCGGTGAGGAGGAAGAAAGTGCGTCTGCCTTCGCGACAGAGGTAAGGAATTTGAGCCCCTCCATGCCTAGGGGATACTGTGCTGCCTTTCCAGCCAGGAAAGTAATTTTTGTTGGTTTGGTTTTGGTGGTTTTTGGTGTTTTGTTTTTTTTTATGTGGCAAAAGATGTAGAAGTTACTACAAGGAAATGCAGCGTGTCTAATTCAGTGAAATAGTGTATTCATTTCCTGCTTGGGAGGGGGGGTGGAAACATCTTGAAGTGGTCCTTGGCTTTCCTGAGGGTAAATTCATGTGAATTTATACTTCGGATTTATACCTTGAGATTTCTCTGTCTCTCTCCTGCTTTGCTTAGATGATTTATTCACACTTCAACTTGTCAGACAGTGACTCCCGAAAGCGCTTGTCACTTTGACCAGCCTTTGCAGTCAGGAAAATGGGTGTTTGGGCTCCAGCTTTTCTAGATATTAGATAGATATTGATAGATCACATCCTACGTGAGTAACCTCTTAATGTCCATGAAAAGCTTAGGAAAGGTTTCTGCTCAGGGAGGGTCTCCCTGTTGCCTGTGGAGGCAGGCAGGGTTAAGATTGTCTCTCTGTCTATTCCAGGTATCAGATCGGGGACTCTCCAGGACTCCGTGAGTGACTGCCACCCAAAACTGAAGGGGAATGCCCATCTCTGCCTGCCTGCTCCATTCTCCACCTGAAAACATCACTGGGGGCTGATTTACTAGGTAAAATAGCCCTTAAAATGGCAGCCTGTCTTACCTAGCACATTTCATCAGCCAATCCCAGAGCATCCCCCACAATGAAGGAACTGAGCATTGCACCTCTCTAGTCCTTCAGTTGGATCCCTGGGCTCAGGTGAGGAACAACAGGGGTACAGAGCCCTCCTTCTGACCATCATGGAGCCCACAGCTCACAGCCAGAAGAAGGCATCCACCCCTTCCATCCCAGAGACAGCAGAAGACCTTGCCCTCAAATTAAATATTGCAGTGAGGAACAGCAATATCAAAGATGTGCTGGAGCTGCTGGAGAAAGGGGCAGATGTGAACTCCAAAGCAGGATGCGGCTGGACACCGCTGCAGAGCGCCGTGCAAGCTAACGAAGAGGACCTGGTCCGGCTTCTGCTAGACAGGGGTGCTTGTCCACGTGCCAGGAAGGACAATGGTGGCACAGCATTTACTGAGGCAGCGATAGCAGGAAATGTGACTATACTGGAGCTCCTCCTTGACTGTGGGTTAAATATTAATGACCATGATGACAATGGCTTCACAGCGTTCATGGAGGCAGCATGGTATGGGAATGAGGAAGCCTTGAAATTCTTGTATAGCAAAGGAGCAAATGTGAATTTGAGGAGGGAAGTTAGTGAGGAGAAAGCGAAACTGCATAAAGGAGGTGTGACAGCACTAATGGATGCCTGTAGGAGGGGCCACGTCTCAGTTGTAAAAACTCTTGTCCAAGAGATGGGTGCTGATGTGAACATTTGTGACAACAAAGATAGGAATGCCTTGATCCATGCCCTCAAGGAGGGTTGTGCCAGGGAAAGATACCAGTCAGCTGTCTCCATAGGCCATTTCCTGCTGGATCATGGTGTTGATGTGAACAGCAAAGATGAATGTGGGAAAAGTGCCCTTATCCTCGCTGTTGAAATGGAGAGCTCAGATTTGGTGGAAGCCTTATTGGAGAAGGGTGAGATAGATGTTAATGATGCAGATGAGGAGGGCAACACAGCACTGGTGGTGGCTGTAGAGAAAAACAACTACCATATAGCAGAAGTGTTGTGTAAAAAAGGAGCAAGGACTGATGTTGGGAACCTTATCGCTGTTGCGAATAGGAACCGTGCTTATAATATGGCACGTCTTCTTCGCCAGTATGATGCCAGGTTTGTTCCAGAAACTCTCAAAGACTGGGAACCAAACAGCAAGCGCTGGAGGGACCAGCTGGAATGTCTTTATAAAATGTATCGCCCTATGATTTGCAAACTGAAGACATTTCAGTTCTTCCGGCTGAGAATCCAGAACACTTCCCAGGGTGGCATCTACCTGGGGCTCCACGGTGAGACGGAGGTAGCAGTAAGAATAAGCCGCAGTACAGAGGGTGAGAAAGAGAAAAGGTTCTTTGAACAATGTGGCACCTGTGAACATCTGCTGAAGCTCTTCCAGTTTGAGAAGGCAAGAGGCTACATGTACTTGTGCTTCCCGCTCTGGGAGAAAAACCTTGAAGAACATCTGCAGGAATCAGAAGACCAAATTGATTACAAAGATGCTGTGAAGATGATCTTCCAGGCAGTGAGAGAGCTGCACTCCCTTGGATATGCTCACCAGGATCTGCATCCCAGGAACTTCTGCATAGGTTCTGTTGTTTCCTCAGTGTTTTCATTTTGCTTTCCTGGTGCCTGTAGTTAAGAGATGTTTCATAGCTGTCTGTAAAAAAACCAACCAAACAAAAACTCCAGATATGAAACACCAGTGCAGATGTCTTTGTGCTGAATGAGGTGTCTGTAGCATTAGGTCTCCTCGTTAAGTATAGATAGGTTCACAGACAGCCACAGAGGAGTGAACAGCACAACCTTCCAGGTCTCATTAGGTCTGTCCTCCTTTCCAGGGCTTTTCAGGCAGATCAACCCACACAGATCTCTCCACAGATTTGTTTTCTAAAGAGGGGGCCATCCAGCAGTCAGTGACAGACTGTATCAAGGTTTTCCACCACTATTTGTTAACAGTTTCTCTTATTTTCTCAGATTTAGGTGGCAAAATTTACTTGGCGGACTTTGATAATAAAAGAAAGTTGATTGAAGGCAAAAAAGAACTTGTAAATTCAGATTTAGAGGTAACTTCCCTGTGAATCTCATGTGGCTTAAAATTTCAGGGGCACTCTGACATTTTCTGTTGCTGTGAATCCTAGGGGAAGCCTTTCTGCATCCTCAACTAGAAAAAAATCTTGATTTCTGGGAAAGCCCGTATAGCAATAGACGCTGCATAAGAATGACAGTGATCAGGATGCAAGGCTGTGGCTGGTGCTGGGATGTCCACAGCTACCCTGTGAACATGATTACAGTGCCTGTCCCCTCTGTCTTTGTGCATGCAGCTTCAAAGTTTGTGTGTGTTTGTATACTTGGTCACACCTATAGGCGCATGTGTGTGATCTGCTCATTTAGGGATCTTCATTCTCTTCTGTTTGGTAAGAAGTTTCGTGCATCCAGCACACGAGCAGGAATATGTTTCTTTGCAGGCGCTTGGCAGGCTCGTGCTGTATGTTTTAACGGGGGGTAGGAAACCCCTTCAGCAAGTCAGTACTGAGGATTTGGCAGCCGATTCTGCAGATTACAATGAGGCTCTGGACCTTGTAAGTAGCCTGGTCTCTCATGATGAACGAGGCTTGGAAGGTTTGAGCAGGCATCCCTATTTCTGGACCAAACAGACGTAAGTCCTGGGAGTACAAAGGAAAAGCTTTCGGTATGGGATTTGCCTGTAGTGCTGGGAACAGCGATGTCCTGTTGCAGCTAACAAAGCTCCTCGCTCCACAGCAGGTTCAAGTTCCTGAAGAGTATATGGAATAAAATCAAAGATCTCCAGAACCGAAGAGCTGTCTTTCAAGCTTCTAATGCTACTGCAAGTTTTCCTTATCCACGGTGGACCAAGGAGGTAATCCTTTTCTCTTTGGATTAGTACAAGGTTTGAGCTAGACATTTAGGCAGAAGCTTTTCCTGAGTGTTTCACAGGCCCTGTTTAAAAATGTAACTGGAAAAAGTAGCCCCACACAAATGTAGAGAACTGGAGGAAACAAATCTAAGCCCTGTTGGGCGAAATATCCCAGACTAAAGACACTGATGCTAAAGGGAGCTCTGTTGACTGAGGTGACGGTAGGGGACGGTTGTTACAGAATTAGCTGGCAAACCTTCAAGGTTATTTGTTGGTGACTCCTTAAGACAAGGACCTCAGGCCTTTGTCTTTGGCAGGAGCGTTTTGTTAGATTGCCTCAAAAGCGGGGAGACCAGGCCTGCTTTTGCAGGTAGCAGCCTGAAAGACATGCTGCATTGTTTGAGGTCCAGCAGTCTTGGTTCAGTGGGGCAGCCTGTGTGGGTTGCCACAGTGGCACGGTCGCATCAAGACTGCCGAGTCCCTCCTGCCCTCCAGGCAGGTGTGAAAGTCTCCTGTGCTACGTTAACAGTCCTAATGTGAGCGTCACTCCTTGCCAAGGCAAGAGCCACGGGTCTGCATGGCGCCTGCCCTGCAGAGTGAGCTCCTCTGCTCATGCTGGGAAATGCACTTTTAAGGGTCACAATTTACTTGCATTTACCCATGCAAGACGATATCCCTGCAGGAAGTAGTGGCTGTGGTGAGCGGAGGCAGATGTGCTGCTTTCATGGTGTGTGAAAGGCAGAGAATAATCTATGTGGTTTTGGTTGGTTTTTTTTCCCAGATTGACAGAGATGTTCTGAAAATCATGAAAAATCCCAGGAAAGTAAAACCATTAAAATATAGCAATGATGTCACCGACCTCCTGAGGTTCATCAGAAACCTGGATGAACACCCAGATAGCAGGTACGTGTTCACATCCTTGCCACTGCCACAGCTGCATTGCAGGGAGCATCTGGGTATCTGCAAGCACCAGTGAGTTTGAGAGCAGAATCTTCTTCAGATGGTTTTCTAGAAAGGTGAGCACAACCAGGATGTGGGAGATAGCCCCTCTAACAAGATGGGCTTTAAAGGACTATCTCCTCTGGCAGCCCAATAGAGTGTGAAAGATAGTGTGACATGGCAGCAAGCAGCCTGGAGTCAGCCCTCAAAATCACCTTCCTGAGGGTAAGAAAAGCAACTTTAGTTGACAGGATTAGACATCAGATTTTGAAGCAAAATCTAACTCCCAGATTATCTCCCAGAGATGAATATTCTCAGCTGCTCCAGAGGGACAGCAGCATCTTCAGAGATTTGGAGACAGCTCCCTCTGCACCCTTGCCTTTGCAGAGCAGCCAGTGTGGTGGATAAGTGCCCGTGATGGCTAAGGCAGATCATGGCTCTACAGCAGAGGCCACTGTGAATGTGTCCTTCTGGGCTGTTATTTTTGCTGCAGGATGGTGTTTCTTGCCATAACTCCAGCAAGGTTTTTAGACCACTCTTAAATATTTGTATCATCCCTTATCTTTAAAAAGCCTCCTTATCTACCTTGCTAGTACTTCCAAAGTGCTGATGTTTACTGTGCAAGGAAGCATCAGTCCTGTTAGAAGATCCTGTTTGGAGGTCTTGGGACCTAAAGAGCTGCCAGAGTCTCCAATCCCCTCTAACCATGGGTGCTCACATGTGAGGTTAGAGGTGGTGTTAACTTCTAGTGATGGTTTCACTGATGCTGGTGGCCAGCACTGCTCTTCAGTGAAGATGCAGGTGGGATATGCAGATAGAGGTGCTAGAGGAATAGTGAAAAAATGGATTGAAGAGCTTGGGGAAGGTATAGAAAAGCTGTAGCTCAAGAATTTCTAGGAAAACTTCCTCTGCTATGAGAAAGCCTCTAGAAAGGCTTTTTCTCTTCATGGGAGAAACCAGGGCATCTTGGGGACTTGACTCCTTGGGCAAGCTTTAAGAACCCATTTTGGTTTTGTTCTCTTTCAGGATCAGCGAAATAATAGGAGATCATGCTGAGTATTTCTTGGAGCTTTTTCCAGCACTTACCATTTATGTTTACAACACTTTACGCCAGAATCCTGAATACAGCCACTTTGCAGACATTCAGGAGCCTTCTCTGTAGGATGTCATTGCCTCCTGTCCCATGTCTGATTCCACCATCACTGCCTCCTTTTATTCCCTATTTATTCGTGTGGATATGGGACTTCAAGACATGGTTTAGTGGGCATGGTGGTGTTAGGTTGACGGTTGGACTTGATGATCTTAGAGATATCTTTCAACCTTAATGTCTCTGTGATTCATCTGCAAAAGGGTAGAAGAAAGTGCACAAGGAGATGGGAGAAAGCACATGCAAGGAGAGAGCATGGAGGACTTAGACTAAGAAATGAAAGATGCTTCAGAAGTGTTTGGTGTAGCAACTATGGGCTTTGCAGAGGAACCAAGTTGACGGCCAGCCCAGGTCATCCTTGACTACCTCTGTCCCTTTGGGTTTACCTTTCTCTGTGAGGTGGGGATCAAGGCCCTGATCCTTAGGGAGAGCAGGAAGATGTGAGACACTTCCCATCTGGGAGGCAGGAGAAGAGCTCAGGCATTGCCAGACAACATGGGACTCTGATAGAGGAAAAGGAGTTCAAGCTCCTTGTTAGGGCCAATATTCCCTACAGCTTGCACTGCTGAGCTGCTTATCTACTCCTAGAAAGACATGAATCCTCTCTTTACAGTCATTTTGAAACACAGCAGCCAGAGAATCAGGTGCCTAGGCAATGGTCTGGCTGTAGAGCTGCCCATGCCCTGTTATCCCCCAGTCTGGTAGAGGCACACTCAGGCCAGCCAGCTGGGACCCGAAGGACTTTGTTTGGTGGACACAGGAGATGTTTCCGTGAGGAATGCACGTAAGGAGCACAATCCCACAGAACTCTGCTGCTGTGAGCAGCCCTGACTCACTTGAAAAAGGTTGCTGACGTCAAGAGGACTGCAGGGACCAGTTCATCCTGGAAAGGACGAGCTCAGCCTGCGTCTGCAAGGTAGGGCAACACACAAGCACTCCCTGTCTCCAAAACGGTGCCGCTGGTGGTGTGCCACTCTCCTCCTGCCAGACTCGGCTCCCTGGCATGGAGCTGGTGCCCAGACAGCCACAGCCAGCAGCCAGCTCAGAGCTTTGGCATTGGAGGCTGCATGGCACAAACCCATCTCTGAAATCCTACGGCATGCCATGCATGTCCGATTGTCCAACGCCTTGCTCGTTTCTCTGCTGCTTTGCATGATGGTTATATGTTGTTTATGGAAATATTTTTCAGCTGTTGTAAACATATTTAACTTTTTTCAAACTGAGGTTGTTTATTCTTTCAATTAGCCTATGGAGAACCAAACTCGGAATAAACTTGCCTGGAAAACTGCCTCTACACTCATTTATGAATGAGGTTCCCCCATCCCCTCTGCACAGAAAGAGAGAGCCTGCATCACTGTGAAATGCCCAGAAGACTGGGATTTTTTGCCTCCCTGTCGAGGTGCCTTTTGATTGTTTAGGTAAGGTGGTAGATGGCTTTGTCACAGCTCAGATGAATTGCTTCTGGCCCACATGGATATCTGATGGAAAAAGCCATTGGGAAGTACTGAAGGCTTCCTGTGCTCGGAAGCTTCTTGTCCCTTGTGAAATAATGTGCTAAATGGTGGGGATTTTTGCATTTTTTTGTGGTGTGAGGGTGAGGATTTTGTGGATGAGTTCAGGTGCAAAGATGAGCATCAGTGCTTACATGTGTGTGTGTACAGGTAGAACTCTGGACGTTGATGTATTTGACCCGTGTCCCCTGCAAATGGGTGGCTGCCAGGATGCATCATTGAGGTCAACTCCTCTTGTGGCATTAGTTTCACTTTTTTCCTTTCTTCCCTGCTGTTGGTTTGGGGTTTTTTTTGTTCTCTGTCTTTCTCATGCCCAGAAAGCAGAAGGACCCCCTGAGACGCCTGTCTGGGTCTCGGGAGCGTGGTGAGCAGGGGTGCTGTGGGGAGTGCAGTGGCTCTGTGCTGCAGCAGCACACTTCTGCTCTTGCACAAAGAGAGGTGAGGCCATGGGCTGGGCTCCTTCAGCCATTTGTAAAATGCCACATTTCTGGCTTGCTTTGACCTTTGCATCTTCTTGATGAGGAAGACTGAGGAAAGACTTTCCCGAAAGCAGAGACCACTCAAGGGTGTCCAAACCAGAGCAATGATTGAACCCGTGGAGGCTGTGACTTACCCCTCTGGGGCAATCAGGCTGCTGTGAAGAATTTCCAGGGAAGCTTGTGTGGTCTGCAGGGCTGTGTCCTGCTTTCCGAGAAGCCAGGGGTGTCAGCAGGACGGTGTCAGAGGAAAAACTTGACCCATGCATGGCATCTGCACAGCTTATTGCTTACAGAGCATTAGGATATTGGAAGAGATGGAGAGGCTGTGAGACAGGTCAGTGCTGAGGAAAACACCAGGGTCAGGGAGGATGGTCCGGGCAGGATGGAAAACCAATGGCAAGGACAGCTGTGCAGCATTGCAGCTGGGTGGTATAGCAGTGCCTGATGCTGCAGCCTGGGGGTAAGGGTGTCCTAGGGAGCCAGGAGCGGAGCTGGGGCAGAGCCAGCTGCCAGAGTTAGTGCTGCCTGGTGTGCCGATGGCTCCCAGCATCAGTGCCCATCTGGGAGGTGCTGCCTGTCTTGGCCTCACGCAGGCAGGCAAACCATGCACGATGCCCAAGGCCATGCTGCCTTCATGCTTCATTCCCCTTCTGCCGTGCCTGTACGCTGTGTGTTCACTGTGCTTCTGCCTCTCTCCCCTGCTGGCTGACCCCAGGGGCAGCTGGCTCAACCCGAGGTAATGGGATCAGGTGCTCCCCATCCCGTCACTTGTGTGCCGAGGGCATGCTTGTGTGCACAGGGATGGCCCCAGGTCCATTTGTCTGGTCTGCTGCACTGGGGAAAAAAGAACATCTGCAGAAGCAGTGGAGTGAAGTTCACTCTTAGCTGCAGTTTTGCTGTGATGAGCTTCAGGCACATCTGCAAAGCCTTCTAGGGACTGGGCTCAGCTGGGCTCAGACTGTGGAGCCTGAAGTGTTCGTGCAAAGCAGAGGAAAATGCAGCTGGCTTGTGTGGCTGAAAGCTTTTGGGGCAAAATCAAGTTACAGCACGGGTAATTTTAAAGGAGCTGGTCATGGTCCAGGTTGTAGGAGCGGCATCAGCTTTTAACTGCTTAATTTATAGAAATGTTCTTGGACTTTGGGTTTGCTTGGTTTTTTGATCCTCCAGAAGCAAAGCACTGATAATCATAACTGACAAATATGAATCATGCCATCATCTGCCCTAGATGCACCTTTGTGATTCCCAGGATGCAGCCTTCTAGGATTCGTGGGTTTAAAAGTAGCCAAAAATAGCTTGATAGTTACAAAGCTGAGAGTGTGGGAGGGAGCTGTCGGAGGCAAGGTGTGATAAAGGTCATGGTCTGTTCTTCACGAGATCCAAAGAACATTAGGGATTGCTGCAGCTTCCTGGTGGCTTGGCAAAGCCACTGTGACTCAGTTTCACCTGAGGAAAACGAAGGCCTTGGATGTGATTTGGACATGATCTTTAAAGGTCCCTTCCAACCCAATACAGTCTATGATTCTGTGATTTGGTTAGTGCTTTGTAAACATACTGATTTTAAATAATTAAACGTGCTGAGGCCCCCAGTCAAGGCATGAGCTGATTTTGACTGGAAAATCGGAAAGGCTCCAGCAAGAAAGGCACCATCTCACCACTTGGGAACAGCTGAGTTGTAAACCAGGCGAGTTTACGTGATCCTGGTCCTTGGTGAGAAGCACAGCTCCCTGTGCAGCAGGGCTCTGGGGACGGGTGGTTTTTGAGGATCCCCATCCTCAGGCACAATAATTACTGTGACAGCTTTCTGGCTTTAGGCACCTTCCAAATGTCTTGGGAAAGATCTCAAAGGTGGTGGTGTGCTGTGCACCAGTGTGGCTTATTTCCACCGTTACTGGGTCACAGCTATGGGCAGTGCAGTCTTCTACAGGTACACATAAGAAAGGAGACTGCTGTGTGGATGAGGGTATCTCCTTGGGTGGAAATGTGTCATGGCACGTCTCTGCCATGGTCACAGAGGTGCATGCTGCTCTGCTTTGTTACCAGGCAGGCTGGAGGATACTGCAAGTTGTTTAGTTTTAGGTCTTAATGCTGATTAAGTGCAAACTATGGAGTGTGTCCAGGCTGCTCAGTTTCCTTGGAGCACACCCCTGTTCTGCTCAGCATGGGCAGTCTGTTGGGAGGTCTGGTCTTCCTTGGAGGTCTGTCCTTCCCTCGGTGCCTGTGGGGAGGGGAGAAATGTTGCATGAGTGGCCGCTGCTGATGGAGGCAGGGTGCAGGTGATGGGAGACAAATACCACAGCTGTGTGCTCCCGGGGCAAGGGTTCAGGGCATGGAGAGGTGCAGCAACTGGGGTTGTTACTGGAGATTGTGGGAGGTAACCAGCATCCTGCACAGGCCCACTCAGTTGGCCTTTGGGTTTTAAGGGGAGTCGTAGCTCTGCTGCTCCAGGGGCTTGTGCTGGGGTGCTTCTGGGGGAGGGAAGCTGTCTCTGTGACCACCTACCTGCTCTGCAGGACAGGAGGCAGACTTGATGAATGAGAGCCCTTTGTCAAGACTTCTATCACAATCCAAGAAAAACAACACGCACAACCTTCTCATCATGGACCGATGCAGGGGGGCATTAAACCCGGCTCCCATCCCAGCAGCCAGAGAGCAGGGATGCTCCTTTCAGGCCTGTCTCACCTTTTTGCTCCTCCGTTGTTCTATGGGGCTGCAGCAGCAGGATCTGGATCCCTTTCAGGAGCGAGAAGACGATGGTGGCGTCACTGCCTGGTGAGGGAGAAGAGATGAAGATGTACTGTGCAGCAATGTACTGGCAAATGAGGGAGGACAGCAGGATGTCCTATCACCTTTGAGTCCCATGGGGCTTGTATGGAGGTGAAGGAAGAGCAGTTGAGCAAGGACATGAGTTACCCAGATCTCCTTGACTGTGAAACTGTTTGGGGGCTGCAAGGCAGGGGTGACACATCCCACCCTGCCCCTGCTGCAGGGTTGAGGGGTCCTGGGTGGCTTGTAAGGAAATGGCATT